CCCCAAAACCCCAAAACCCCAAAACCCCAAAACCCCGGAAAGCTAAAATAGAGTAAATTAAGTAATCAGTCCAATAATTGATAATATCAGAATATCTCTATATTTATGATTTCTTAGACATCTAAAGTGAACTAATTTAAATTTCTAATTAACACAGAGTTAATTAAAATATTAAATTTCCTCTAACAAACAATGCAAAATAGAGAATAATAGAATAAAGATCATATGATAATATCAATGGATTTCTAGAATCCTAACAGTATCTACTGAGATTATTAAAGCAATTTCGAGAAGCAATCACATGATGTATATCAAAGAAAAGGTAACTAAAATTCGCGATAACTTTTAGAGTTTGTGTCTAAAAGATAGTCAACTGATTTTCCTCATAAGTAAGATGACCTGAATAAGTCAAAGCCGACCCATGACTCAATAAGAATACCAAATCATCATTAAATAAAGAAAAGTAGCGGAAGTTTCTACTCAAGGGGAGGGACTCATTCACCCTCGAAAGATAGTGAAAAGGAAGAGGAGAGTGGAGGTCGTCATGGCCGTAAATAAAATTTTTCTAAGGAAGCAACCTCAGTCCTAAAAAGATGGCTGATTGAAAATGTCGAGCACCCGTATCTTAAAGCAGTTGATAAAATTAACCTTTCCAGAGAGAGCGGTTTAACTAGAAAACAAGTATAAAACTGGTTTACAAATATTCGCAAGGTAAGCTTTAATTTTACCCTCTGACATACAAATTAGAGAGTTTGGCAGCCTTTGATGAATAAGTTCAAAAACAAGAAAGATCTCAAGAAAATTATTTTGAAGCTAAAACTCAAACTTGACTCCTCAGATGAAAACTCTATCAATGAAGTTTCATCTTAGTTAAGGGCAAGTTAAACTGTCGGTGACCAGGATAAAGATCAAGAAATATCCTCACCCAAGGTATATAATCATCATTTGACTAATCAATTTTAGGAGGATTCGCATATGTAATAACCATTTTTATAATATATATTTATTAGATCAAAAAGTCTTGGAAAGAGAACTAAGCGTTCATTCGAGGAGAACCCCCACTAATACAATCAAGTGCATTGTAATAATATTTTATATCAAATAAATTTGTCATGTAGCCGGACAGAGGAATTAGATTAGTCAATATGAAGAGGAAAAAGAAAGTCAAAATCCAGATCAATGTAAATAAATACTATGATTTATCAGAATTTATAGAGTACCAACAAAGTAAGATAAGAAATCTCAAAAAAAAGAAAGATTTGCCCGGAGACACAAAAGTTACATAATACTTGGAGCAAATGGATAAATTTAATTAGTAATAGAAAGAAAAACGTGCTAATCTTAATAACTCAAGTGAAAATGGCAGTAATAATAGCATGCCAGGTGTAAATAATTCTGGAGGGTCAAATAACTCAAACCTAGCTTACTTAGATAGTAGTAATAGTGGTATTAGGAATATTAGTGCTGGTCCTACCTCAAATCCACTTATTGGATCTAGTGGAGGTGGATCATCAGGTAATAATTCAAATAACATCCAATATGTTCCAATTATGGTAATGTGTTGTCCTAACATCTTAAAAAATGAGCCATGCTTTTGTGGACACTAATCCTTTGTAACTATGCCTTCATAGACTCAACTTCATTAATATCTTAACTAACTTATGCAAAACCTAAACGGTCCGGGCATGAACAATAACAATCCAAGTAGTGGTGCTTCCTCAAGCTAAAATTTGTAGCCTAGTAGTAAGATTTTAAATTTACTTAATTTTATTTTACAGATTGTGGTCCTTAGGCTCAATATATGCTCACTGGTAGTACACTATCAACTAATAACAATAATGGAATGGATTAGATGAGCCTTCCATAAGGGATATAGATCCCAAATCAAGTTTAGAATATGCAAGATAATCAAATAGTTTAGCCTTAGGTTAACACTCATTAGCAGCCTAATGGTTAATCGCAAAACTATTACTATCATCATCAGCAAAACCATATATTTAGAAACTAAATGTCAAACTAGATGAACCCGTTCTAGTCGTTTTGCAATTCATCCTCATCAAGCGGACATTCAGTTGGAGGTAATGTTAAAGCAGATAAAACACAAAGCAATTATTGGAATATAAACTTCCCAAATGTCCATCTACCGAAACCCTCTATTAGTCAAATTGGGTCTTCATCAAATGGTAGCAATGGAAGTAACGGAAGTAATGGAAGTAAGTGAAATGGTATGACAATAGGTACTTCATTAGGTTAGCGATTAATGTGATATTAGACTTATCAATTAAACTATGCTTTTTGTACATTCAAACCAGCCTCCTTCTTAGTATATATATATAAATTATTTACTTATTTGAAATAAATTCGACATTTTTTAATAATTTTAAATCCCAATATGAATGGGGTTTTGGGGTTTTGGGG